TGGGGGGGGGGGGGGGTTAGAGGTGGACTTCCAGAGGTGGACGAGGAACCAGAGATGGACCAGAAACTGGAGGAGAAGGCAGAGGGTATAACATCAAGGCGGAAATGACAGGTTCATTAAAGTCCCCTTCACAGTAGCCTACTGCAACAACACCTAGTCCACACAATCACAAAAATACCATTGAGGACCATCGCTAGATAGCTTAGCAGAGGCAGTTATCCAAGGAGATTGTTTGGTCAACACGTTCTCACTCCCAACTCGTCACATTAGCCTATCACTTTTTTCGACGTACAGGCAGGGGTGGATCTAGAAAATAATTTTTAGGGTGGCATGGGGTCTATGAGGGGTGGCAACACCAAAGCAAGCCCCCAATGCATAGTTTTTGTGGATTTATGGTCTGACATACACAGTTGTGTTCACAAATATTGTATTACCATTAGGTAATCATACTGTTTAAAATTAAAAAGAAATAACATTTTAATATCCATCATGGCACCAAGTCAATGCACAATATAAAAAACTTCAACAGGTTATAAATGTTTCTGAGCTTGTATCACTAAAGAAGACATGCGGTTCTATTAAAATGACATAGGTTACTTAGATGGTATAATCACGTTTAGTGCACGTTTAAGAGCAATGAAAACTTTTGAATTTTCCTAACATTAGAAAGAAATACAATAATATCAAAGCACTGAAGCTGGATCAGTTTTGAAAACAATGTTTGATTTTCTGTTATTAACAGAGGTGGGAATGTCTGTAATTACCCAGAACAAACTCTATCAACCATATCAACACCCCAGCAACTGCATGGCAAGACCCTAGCAACCAACTTGCAACACTTTAGCAAACATCTAGAACATCTAACTGACCAAACCATTTATGTTTTTAAACAAGACTTTAAGAGAAGCCAGCATAAATTTGTCTTTCAAACTTTTCAGTCTTGTTATTAGTTTTTCTTACAGGTTTTTTTCAATGGCTTACACACATTTTCAAAACTGTGCCTCTTTTTTTCAAAACTTTACACACAAATCCAAGAATTGCACACACAAAACGCAAAATGCCTCACATCTCTTGCAAAATAAAGCACTGCATTCAAAATATCGCAAACACATCTCAAAGGCAAACATTTGCAAACACCTTTGCCATAAAATTTATTCCTGTTATTATTTTTGTGTGTTACATAGAGAATTGTGTGTTGTGTTTTGCAAAAAGTCAAAGGCTGATCATTTAATGTATGGTTTTGCAGATTTGGTGTGTGCTTCTGCTGTTTGAGTGTCAGCTTTCAGAAATTGTGTGACAAGTAAAGATTTTGTGTGTAAGCGGTTGCAAAAAACTGTAAATGCTTACACACAATTCAAATACACAGATGACTTTCCT